TTTTCCTTAATTGGTTGGTTTACATGGTGATGAAGCATGCCATTCTAATTCACTGTCTATTTTTGGTTCCTCAAACAATCTGTGATATATTTATTTTTATGTATAAATAGCAGAGCAATAGCTAACTGGTAGCCTGCCTTGAGATTTGTGATTTGAACTATTTAGAGTAGAAGCCAAACATTGAAAAATAGGAGATGTAAATTATTCCATGTGAAATTATTTTCAGTGTAAATTATATTATATCAAAACAAATGGAGCCTAAAACAGATAGAAATTTCTTTGAAGCAAACATACCTCTGCAATACTCTTCATTGCAGAAAGCAACACTGAAAGCAAAAATAGAGTTTCTAAAGAAAAGGTCTTCAGGCTAAAAAAGTGAAGGAACCAAACTTTTTTTGAACATACACCTCATTAACCATGGTTATTCTTCTTTTCCAACCAATTTGTTGCTTGTTGTTCTTCTTCATCAAGGTAAAATACATGCAAATCATGACTAAAATATATTCACATGTCCATAGAGTCATGAGGAAGCTGCCACATGTCCTATATGTCATGAGGAAGCTGCCTGTGACAGCCATAGAGTGATTCGGGGGTTGTTTTGCATTTTCACTCCCCGAACGCCTTTTCTCAACTAAGTTTAAGGCATTTTTTACTCCAACTCCCAACCTACGTGTGCTAATTACATGCCATCTGTCCTCACAGGTCCTATTGTGTCACGAGGAAGCTTCCCGTAACATCCACAGAGTGATTCGGGGACTGTTTTGCATTTTCGCCCCCCGAACGTCGTTTTTCGACTAAGTTTAAGGCATTTTTTATTCTAACTCCCAACCTACGTATGCTAATTACATCCCGTCTATCCCCACAGGTCCCATGTGTCACGAGGAAGCTATCCATGACATCCATAGAGTGGTTCAGGGATTGTTTTGCATTTTCACCCCCCAAATGCATTTTTTCGACTAAGTTTAAGGCATTTTTGACTCCAACTCCCAACCTATGTGTGCTAATTACATGCCATCTGTCCCCACAGGTCCTATGTGTCATGAGGAAGCTTCCCATAACATCCACAGAGTGATTCGTGGGCTGTTTTGCATTTTCGCCCCTTGAAGGGCTTTTTTCGACTAAGTTTAAGGCTTTTTTTACTCCAATTCCCAACTTACGTGTGCTAATTACATCTTGTCTGTCCCCACAGGTCCTATGTGTCACAAGGAAGCTATCCGTGACATCCATAGAGTGGTTCGGGGGCTGTTTTTCATTTTCACCAGCGGAACGCCTTTTTTCAACTAAGTTTAAGGCATTTTTGACTCCAACTCCCAACCTACGTATGCTAATTACATACCGTCTGTCCTCACAGGTCCTATGTGTCATGAGGAAACTACTCCTGACATCCATAGAGTGGTTCGGTGGCAGTTTTACATTTTTGCCTCTCGAACGCCCGTTTTTGACTAAGTTGGATTATTTTAATTTTTTTTTTCAATTAACTTAAATGAATGTTTGTGAAACCCAAGCTTGTTGTGCTAATCTACTTTGCGAAACCCAACCATTTAGGTACTCTGTTCAACTATTTCATATTTGATAAACTGCCAGTGAGTATTCCTTATCAATTCAGGGAAAGTGAATATTTCATAGAAAGCATGTGCTTACCTTTTTCCACATCAAAATGAAGTCCTTCAGAGTATCCAAACACCAAGTCCTCAGCTGCTAAGTCTCCTAATATTACACATCAAAACCTATTGAAAGTACAGATACAAAATTTCAAATTAAATAAAACCCATAAGCAACGGTGAAAATGATATACACAAACCATTTATTTATAAACAAGACATGCCTTACAAAACATGTCTCACTTGACAATACCCCAAACTTTGAACTGGGTATGGAAATGAAGAATTTTCAGATCAATTCTTTGATGTTGATGCTTTTTACTATTAAGAACATAAATTTTATCAACAGTCGAAACATATTAACATGAAAGTGACAACTCAAACCTTAATGAAGTATCATGTTAGCTTGAATTCAAAACAATAATGTCAATATTATCACGACACATGGGAACATGTTTCCCGTGGTGCACCCAAGTTCTATAAGAACACGTGATTCCTCTTCAAATCAAGTGCAACCTACAACTTGTCAACTAAATTTTGTTCCATTCAAGCAATCGACACACGGACAACGAATGTCATCCTGTGAGACTAAATTCTTCATAGCAAATTCAATAAATAACTTAACACCTTGTTGATACTCTTTACTTTTCAACCTATCTTTTATCATCATCAAACTCATGTCCATCTTTCGAACCCTACAAACCAAGCAAAAATACAAAATGGGAATGGACAACACGGGAATGGACAACACATAGAAAAATACTCAATAATGGAAAATCCACAGTATGCAAGATTTGTGGATAGTAGAAGGTCCTATTTGTCCTATTCTCTATTTATAAGCTTTTTATGAACTGTAGGCCAAATCCTATTAGTGAACTTAAAATCAACATCATACTAAAATGAATATATGAGCACTAAATAAATCTTCTATCATAGAGGTGCCAATGTAAATTGGTATGTTCAATACTTTTTTTCCCACAACATAATTAAAAGAAAAGGACAAAGTGCTAAAATAAGAGAGAAAGTAAAGCATGAATGTGGAATTTCATTACAACGAATAATAAGTCATGATTATCAAATCGATCTAATTTTTTTTATAAATAGTATACACAAAAAAAATATTCAAATTATAAAGACTCATAATAGACCGGCCATACAAAGGTCTCAAATTTTCTTAAATTGATATTTGAATTCCAAAGACATAAAAAATAACTTTGTAGAGAACGAATTCAATAGAGAGGTTGTTACTACAATGTTGAATTTAGAATAGGCAGGACTTAAGAGTAACATAGATCATTTGGCATACCATGAACCAAACAGTTTGTATAAGAACCTTGTTAAACTACTACTGCTGTTCATAACAGTATACAGAGCACCTAGCAGCTACAAGAACTTAACAGCAACTCTGAAGTGTTTAATGTGCCACTTTTTAGTACCAAAACTGGATTGCAAATGCACTAAATTAATAAGCCTCGATCAAAGATGAAAAAAGAGAAATCAAAGTCAGGTTAACACCACCGTACATTCATATGCAGCCTAGTAAAAAGAATGAAACTATGATTACAACAGTGGCAAAATGCCAAGTGCCAGTCCACTTATTTGTGCATAAATTAAAAGGCAGAATTATGTTTTTATAATTCATTCAAAAAGGAAAATTAATGCTAAGTGACAGTCCATTTATTTGTCCATAAAATTAAAATGCAGAAACATGTTTTTATAATTCATTAGAAAAGGAAACTTACTACTTTTATTTATTTTTTTGGTACGAGGAAAATTTCTTTATACCAATAGTCCGTTAAAGGATTAAGCATGTATTGACAAGAAAAGCCAACTAAAGACATAAATCTGAGCAAAAACCTATGACAATCCATAACTACTGCTGCATCAGCCTGCATATTATTTACTTTGTGTACAACTTAACAGGGAATTTATTGAATCTAAACAGCATGAAGTAATATGAGTACAAACCCACACTATTGAACTCCATAGACAGAAGAACAAACATTAACATAAAAAATTCAATTAAGACTCACTGGAATTATCAAATTTAATTTGCACACAGAACCAGAGTCTAGAAAGACAAAGCTCAAAGTCGGAGAAGTCCAGCCCCACCGCTTGATCGCACCAGCCCAATCATACATTCTATGTGTTTCTCAAACTCTACAAAGCCTGATGGTTTTTGCTCAAGCAAGAAAAGCACAAAACAAAGAAAGCCCAAATCATAAATCTGTTTTACCATAAATCTTTTCTTAAAAAATAAACTAGTTGAACCCCCACACGCTCTGCTTGTGGGGGTCGCGACATTGATAATGTAGATAATTAAAATATATATGTAAGATTATGTATAGAGAAAAAAATAAACATAGTACATTTTTATTAAGAGAAATGAAATAAATGACAGTAGTTATATGCAATATATATATGTGTGTCCTTGCCCATCACTTTGAATATCCAAGCAACTACCGATTTATTTGAAAACAATACTCCATTAATTTTACTTTCTAATTGCCTTGGTAATGTTGTAATTCCCTGTTGTAGACAAGAACTGTATACACACAAACATCCCTTTCTTTATGGTAAGTCAAAAATATTTCAGAATACACTTCAAGGATATGGATCAAAACTTCACATGCATGAAAAATTTGATTCTTTTTTTTTTTAGAGGAAAAAAAATCATCCACAAAAGAACATTAAACCAAAAATTCAGGAAAAAGGATTCTCATGGACAACGCCAAAGAAAAGAGAGACTGAATGATCGAAGGGATATGGATCAAAACTTTACATGCATCATGCATGGCTGCACTGCATCTCTAATTAATGCACAGAGCAAACTGGATTGCCACTCAAATCAAGAAGTATTCATATACCTTTATAGGACCAGAACTAAAGTCCCAGCCTAAGTCGGTATCATGAGCGTCAAATGCACCCCAGTTTCGTTCATCAACACTTCTGTCCCCAGAGAACACAGATTCAACACCCCTGTGTTCAGTGCACCAATAAAATCATGTAGAAATTCAGATTTTTGAATAAAACAATAGGTGTAGATAGATGCCGTGCAATGGTTTAAAGGTTCGGACACCAATAAAAAATTTCAAATCCAATGCAAAAGGAAAATACAAAAAAGATGCAAATTAAAACCTGTACCTCTAGGTCTCTCTAGCATGCGGTGAACCATCTGCACTGAAGTTCTACACTGTCTTCGCTATGAGCATCATCAGCAATCCTTTCCCCTCCACTTGGTGGCTTTTCTGAGTTATGATCAGCATTTGTTGATGAAACATGTACACCCTCTTTTGTGGAAGATGCTTTACTAGCAACTGAAGAGGAGCTACAACATTTTCCACATTAAGAGTGAGCTCTTTGACAAATGTGAAACTTGGAAGTGGCAAGAGTTCACTAAAATTATAATACAACTACAACTTGCACATCTTGGCTTCAGATTCCCTATACCAGAAAATTTTCAATCCACAAAACATTTAGGCCAATCAAAAAAGGGAGGCATTAGATGCATTTTAAATGACAAGAAGAGTAACAAGTAGTGCAGACACTCAAAGATCCATCATCAAACACTTCTTGACAAAAAGATACTCAAGCTAAATGTCCACTTAATCCTATATGAAAATTGTTTGACATACCTTCATCTTCAAACTTGTCCCAATTTTCATCCTAATCAGCTGCCCCTTCTTGGATTCCAGGTTGCAAACCTTAAGCAATCCTGTCCTAGCTTGGAATGGTCACTATGGATCCGAATATGCACTAGGTCGAATGGTCGAAAAGGGTGCCCCGGTAAAACCGGGGTTTGTGTTCCCATGCTGTCAGAGCCCATAGCCGGTCAGCCTTATGGACATGCCTTGACAAGACAAGCCTCCAGCAAACCGTTCAGGAATGGCAGATGGCAAACACTGTGTTCCTAGGCGCACCAATGCACATGCAATGCAAAGAAACACATAAATGAGATCAAAACAAGATATCACAAGTTTGAGTCAAGCTCTCTAACTTCCCCAGCAGAGTCGCCAGAAACTGTAACACGTCCGCGGGGGACCTCATGCTACAGTTCGGACTCGATTTGTGTCACGGTTCTTAATCTGAACCAAAGAGTCCAAATCTGGCAAATCGTTTTGTTTCAATCGGCTCTGTTGGTGTAACTGGCCCCAGATACAGAGTCGCCACCTAAATATTTTAAAATGGGGGAATTTAGGAAACCCTGACTCGGTGCCGAAGGCCACATGTCCGTCATCACCGGAGTTGTCTCGGCTCGGGAGCTTGGGTACGATCGGGGGAGGTCAGCTATGAGCACCCCCTTTCGCCCGGTCCGAAGACCGGCCTCTACTAACCGTGATATCCGTTTTTGAAAACTTTATGTGTTCTTAGACCAATTGTTAGCCTAGAATTACTATGTTATGCGCACAGCAAATAAGTATAGACCGAATTGCCTAAATTGGAACAAAACATTCTATGTCCGTTTTGAAAATGGTTTGCTACTCATAAGTAGGCTAAAATGCAGATTTTGCCACCCTCAAGTGGTTTTTTTTTTTTTGGAAAAGACGATTTTGCCACTATCTAGTGGGCTTAAAACAAATATAGTTTTAACGCATTATCCCAATTTAAGCAATTTCACCTCCACCCACAGGCATTCAAGCAATTTATCTCATGTAAACACTTAGCCGCATGGCAAGCATACTATTATGGCAACATTCACACGCATGTTGGATGCTAAAGCATAACCACTTACATTGTACTCCGTGCCAAAACAATAAACTAGTTAGCAAATGTGCGTGTCCTAGTTCATGTTAAAAATGGCTAATGCATCGCATGCAAAAATGCAATCTAGATAGGCTCGGCTAACCTAGAAATGGCATGTGAAATGCGATCAACTATCACATATTCAATTTGCGAATTAAAGTACAAATGCAGTTAGCATGATGTACCGAGCCTAATGCATGTAGTACAAATGCGTGAATGCATATACGCATAGCATAAGGTATGCTAAATTAAACATGCCCTAATCTACCATCATAAGCAGGTAAATAAAAGGGAAGAAAGAAATGGGGATTGGAAGACATACACACACTCACCCACACTTATTACAGAATTGCCCTTGCTCGGAAGGACCGAATAAATATTACAGTCCCAAATAATAAACAAATAAAATTATTACAAAAAAAAATCTAATTTAATTTAAAGGAAAGGTGGCGAAGGAAAGAAAATGGGTGGCCGCAGCCTCTGCCTCGGGATACGCGAATGATGCGTGCTCGAATCCGTCCTGCCCGGAAAACCCGTACTATACTCCTGTCGCCTCTGTTTGTACTGCCTTGCCTTTCTGAAAGTTGCCAAAGTACTGGAGCAAGCTCCTTGCATCCTGCAGGGCACCACCGGCCAGACAGAATTGCCACCGGCACTTCACAATTACCATCGGCACTTAATTGGATTCATCGGCACTCCAGACAGTGCCGGTCGGCACTAAATTCTGCCGGTCGGCAGAAACTTCCTGCAGAAGACAATTTGACAGCAAACAGAGAACAGACAGTGCATGGCATGGAATTTTTGGACACATGTAAGCATGGTCATACTTCTTATCATATTTTGAACTCAAAGAAGCATGACCTCCGATCTTTGAGCCATCAATGGTGCATGATGACTCAAGGGATCAAATTTGCCACTTAATGTAAGGATGCATGCAACAAATAAAATGAGATCCGAAGCCTCATCATGTCAAAGTCAAAGGCCCCGGTGACCGAGAATCAAGGTACATCGCATCACTTGGAGTATGAATGTCCCTCGACCCTCATATTTGGCTTGACACCCCAAGCCAAATGATGCAATGCATGTTATGCTCACAAGGCTCAAAACACAACATGATGCTAAACATGCAAGATATGCCAAATATCATGCAACAAAACATGACAAGTGTACAATGCCAAGCATACAAGATGCAAATATGATGCAAATATGGACCAATTTGGGAATGGGATTCACATGCTACAAGGCTTGATGGGACAATTATGCAACAAACATGGAGCAAGCATGCAAGAGGGCTTAGAATGGCAAAGGGGCAGGCCCTCACCCCTCTCAAAACAGTGGCCAAAAGTGCTCAAAATGATAGACAATCAACTCATGCTAACAAGCAAACTTATGGTCCCAAAGTTGAGGCACGAAAGGAGACGTTTCACCCTCATTAATATGGCCACTCATGGCATGATTAAAGCAAAGCGAAAACAGAATTTGTGCATGTAAAATAGGACTCCAAAAACTCCTAAAATGGCAGCCAAGATGACTCTCAAGAGGCATACACACTAAGGCTCATTCTTAAGCATAAGAGGGTACACCCTCAAGGCACAAAAGAGGTCATGCATGCACACATACAAACATGATTCTTGGGCTAGAATGTGGTCCTAGGTGATGTTAAAATCATGAGGGTAATCACAAACATGTATGCTATACGTCAACATGCTCAAAGCTTTCAAACCAAAATACAAAGCAACCCTAACAAACATGTCAAGCATGACCAAATAGATAACCCACAAACTCTAAGCATGGAAAAACAATACTACAAGCTTCATGGGATCGAGCCAACACATGCAAAAATCAAGGCCTAATCTTGAGATGCATTTCTAAGTAAAATGGAGCAATACAAAGCAAGTCTTACAAGCATGCAAGGAGGCACAAATCCGGCCAAAAATAGAGGTTATATATGACCTAAAATGCCTAAAAAAATTCTGAAATGAGGCCAAGAAACAACAAGCACACATGCTACCCTTTTGAGCTCAAAAAGCATGAAAATAAACCATGAAGGGAGAGGGGTGTCCCTCCCCTATGCAAGACTTCAAACCATCTTTTTTGACACTAAAATACACTGATTTTCAGTGGTTAAAAGATCAAAACACTGAAGTGAACAAAACCTTATCAAAGAGGCACAAAAATAGACCAAACAAGGCCTATAAGGGTGAGTTTGCACTCAAACCACAAAGTGACCTTAATGAAAGTCTTAGAGCAGAGAAATATGAGCCTTTTTTATGTTATACACAAGAGCTAAAACAGTAAACAAAGTAGGTAGAAAACCAAAGAAAGTTTGGGGAATAAAAAGGAAGATGCTCACCCTTGAAGAACCCTTGAAGAACAAATGGTCTAGCCTCCTTCTTTGGATCAAAACCAGTCCAAAACTCAAGAAACAACTCCTCCAAGTCCCTCAATCTCGGAGTAAGGTGTAATGGTGTGTGTAATGGTGCAAAAGTAAGGTAAAACACACTTTTTGAGCCAAGAAACACACACAAGAAGGGAGAGGGAGAGAGGTATAGATATAATATGTATCTATATCTCCAAAGGCTGGTTTTTGCTTCTGTTTTTCCAACCTAGAACCAAGAGCAAAGCCCCTCTCTTATAAGGATCCCTCTTGCAAAGCTTATTCAACAAGCTTGGCTAGAGGGAAATCCCTCCATACACATGTATGGAGGGGGGGAGAGTTGGTGCCAGCTATCACAGCTGGCACAAAATATCTCCAAAAAGTGGATGAACAGTGGTCGGCTGCCCAAAAATGCTATTCCGGCAAAAAACAGTGCCGACCGGCAACCAATTATGCCGACCGGCAATGAAGTGTGCCGACCGGCAAACAAAAGTGCCGATGGAAGAAAAAGACCATCCGGTGGCCTCCAGACACTGCCGGTGGTGTGTGGGGATGTCTCATAAGGCATTCCCTGCCCTTTCAAGGCAAAACACAAGTGTTTGGTGCAAAACCAGACACTAAACGGTCAAGTTCGGAGATCCTGAGGCAGGGCGCGCGGGCCGAGACCTCCGGGAACTCTGAACGAACACAAACATGGATAATCACCGTGTGTTCAAACGGTGACGTCCAAGCCTTGAGGACGGTCAAAAATGGGGTGTCTACACATGCCCAACATATCCTAAAACTCAAACAAATGGAATCAAAGGACGACAATAAGATAGATACAACTACCAACTCCACGGAACCAAAGTCTGGAATACAACAGATATAGAAAGGGAAAACCGGGATCGCTATAACCTTCCCCCCTTAAAGAATTTCGTCCCCGAAATTCAAAACAAATTTTTCAAAAACAAGATTTTCTCAATTTCCAACATTATTACAATGCAAAATTTAACAACTCGACCCATTTCCGGTCATTCCATCTCTATTCAAGAGGCAATTTACCACATATCTCAATATGTATTAACAACATGCTTTCCTTGAAATTCATCAATTTCTACATACATGTTTCACAATTCTATATCATATTCCACATTCATGATATACCTCCATTTCTACAATACATTCAACATATGCAATGTTATAACAAACTTCCATTTCAAGGCAAGTCTTACAATACATTCATAAACCAAAACATTCACAATGTTTTGCAACTTAAGACATATATAATGCTCTTAAGGTTCAATAAGATTACAAAATTTCCAATGCATGATTACACGTCAACAAACAAGTCTGGATATTTCTCGCGGACCTCCAACTCACGTTCCCAAGTGGCTTCCTCCACTCTGTGATGTTTTCACAAAACCTTTACCAAGGGAATGGTCTTGCCACGTAGGACTTGATCCTGCCTATCCAAGACCCGAACCGGTCTCTCTTCATACAAGGCATCCTCATCTACCTCTAAGTCGGTCCAATCTAACACATGGGACGGATCCGGCTCATACTTCCGAAGCATACTCACATGAAACACGTCATGCACTCCGG